CCATGGAATACAAATATTTTTTGAGAATTCTATGAACTTTTCTATCTAGCCTTTAGGGTTATGGGTTTAGGGTTTGGGGTTTTTTTTTCTTTTTTTTTGCAAATACCACTAGTGTGGCTTATTTTATAATATAGGAAATGAGAATACACATAAAGGAGGGCGACATAAACCTGACCTCCTGTAAGTGAAAAAAATCACAAATGTCTCAAATGAAGAGCAAATGACATTAAACGAAATGTGTCTAAAAAACTAGTGAATAATACTCAAGGGTATTCCCGAGGATAAATCTTTGGGTTATAGTACATAGACATCGATCGTGTCATGCGTCTGGTTTGCAGTTTCTAGGACACAGTGTGCAAGCCATGTTCGAGACACGTCCTGGCTGCGGCATGGATGCAACCTGATTTTCAGGAATTTCTAGGTAGTTTGTGGGCATCATGTGCAGACCACGTTAGGGACGTATCCTGGCCGCGATAGGGACGCAATCTTATTTTCAGACATTTCTAGGCAGTTTGTGGGCACGGTATGCAGCCAATGTTCGGGACGCTTCCCGGCCATGTTAGGGACACAAGCAGATTATCAATCAAATGAAAGAAGCACGGTGTGCAGGCCATGTCAGGGGCGCAAGCACGTTCCCAAGCATTCTGGGCAGTTTCTGTTACACGGTGTACATGCCATATTCGGGTTAAGTCATGGCCACGATAGGGACACAGCCTGATTTTCAAGCATTTTTTGATAGTTTCTAGGCACTGTGTTCAGGCCATGTCTGAGACATAGCCTGATTTCAGGCATTTCAAGGTAGTTTTCGGGTCACGGTGTGCAGGCCATGTCCAGGACGCATTCGAGCCACGACAGGGATGGAGCCTAACGTGGCCGGAAAGTATCCCAAACATTGCCTGCATATCGTGCCCACAAACTGCTAGAAATGCTTGAAAATAAGGTTGTGTCCCTACCGCGACTAGGACGCGTCCCGAATGTGGCCTGCATACGATGCCCACAAACTGCCTAGAAATTCTTGAAAATCAGGTTGCATCCCTATCGCAGCCAGGACGTGTCTCGGACTTGGCCTGCACACTGTGTCCCGAAAACTACAAACCAGACGCATGACACAATCAATGTCTATGTACTATGACCCAAAGATTTATCCTCGAGAATACCCTTGAGTATTATTCGCTAGATTTTTAGACACATTTCATTTAATGTCATTTGCACTTCATTTGAGACATTTGTAATTTTTTTACTTATAGGAGGTCAAGTTTATGTCGCCCTCCTTTATATGTATTCTCATTTCCTATATTACAAAATAAGCCACACTAGTGGTATTTGCCAAAAAAAAAAAAAAAAAGCACCAAACCCTAAAAAACCCTAAACCCATAACCCTAAAGGCTAGATAGAAAAGTTCATAGAATTCTCAAAAAATATTTGTATTCCATGGCTTGGCTTTATAAAATGTCTCAAACACAAGGCCTTTTATTGGTACAAAGGATCCAAAATACATTGTATGAACTTAATAGACTAATTAATTACTTTTCCTACATACTATGAATAATATGATACAAAGAATCACTTGGATACATGATTTAAATAAATGCATTTATATTAAATAAACTAATTCATGTATCAAATTTAATTTTTTTCATTATTCATGAATCATGTTTAATTTCCAACGTTCAGAAACCGAGAACTAAGCATGGGCTAATTCAGTTTCCTCTTTTAATTTTCAATTTTAAGTTTAAAATAGAAAATGATTTTGGTTTTTCATTCGGAATTACTATTTCTTAAAATAGAAGATTACATTTGATTTAAAATTATGAAAAATTATTTCATGGATTTTTTTATTTAGTAAAATATATTCGCATTCTATTTTTTAAATGTTGTATAAAATATAACATTCAAATTAACTTGAAATGATATTTTATTTCCAGCTCAAGAAGAAGCGTTGATTCACCAGCCATTGGGTAAGAAATGAGGACACATTTCCTACTGGGATTTCAACTATTGTCATTGCTTTTCAACACAGTAAGTATCTATTTTCCATTTTATATTTTAGTTAAAAAAATTATTGTTTGGCTAGACTTTATTTTTGCAAGAAGAAGAAGTTAGTTTTAAGTAATTTTTTAGCTAAATATTTAAAAAAAAAAAGAAAAAAGAAAAAAAACTATAAAATAGTCATGGGAATGCTAATTCATTTCTTGAATTTGTTGAGGGTTCATTATATGTCGTAGCGATGATGTTCTTAATTATTATGACTTTTTTGCTATCATCCAATAATATATTAATAATCTATTATATTTTTATGTTCAGGTTTCTCAGCAGCCGAGTCAAAACGGCATGTAACACTCTTCAACTAGAAAAGTATATTTGTTAACAATAGCTTTGAAAGTAATTGTTCTCTCACAAATTGGCAATTATAACAAGAATTCTTATAATTGCTTTAAGACATAATTGCTAGATGTCTTGCACACAATTATTCAAAACCACAGCTATGCACTCTGCATATATTCCTTGATCATAATATAAAGTGATTTCTTTTCCTTCAATACTTCCCTAAAGTTGGAGTGTGAATGTCAAGAACTCAAAATTTTCTAAGTCAATCAAAAACAACTTATTCCAGTGATTTAGTAAATAACCACCTATTTGTTGTCCTATTTCATTGTAGATTATCTCAATTTCCCCACTTTAATTTTTTTTCTTGTACTGTGTGGTAATCCAACTCAATGTATTTTGTTCATTCGTGGTACATTGGGTTAACAGCAACATGCAGACTCTAGCACTAATACTTCAAGTATAGATATTCATATGATGAAGTCCTCAATTTTGATCCCTCTACTTTGTATAAATCCTTTAGCAATAAGTCAAGCCTCACAAACTTGTAAGGTGCTATAAGAATGGTATTTAATTTTGAAGACCCATTGCCTACACACCGTGTCCATGACGCGTCCTGGACATGGCCTACACATCGTGTCCCAGAAACTGCCTACAGATGCTTGGAAATCAGGCTACATCCATGCAGTAGTCCCGACACGTCCCGAACATTACCTGTACATCGTATCTATGATATTGCTTAGAAATACGTGAAAATCAGGATGTGTCCCTGCAACATTCTGGACATAGCCTGCACACCGTGTCCTAAAAATTGCCTAGAAATGCCTGAAAAGTAGGCTGCATCCCTGCCGTGGCCTAGAAGCGTCCCGAACATTGCCTGCACACCGTGTTCCAGAAACTGCCTAGAAATACCTGAAAGTCAGGATACATCCCTGTCGCATCTTGGACAAGGCTTGCACACAGTGTCCCACAAACTACCTAAAATTGCTTGAAAATCAGGCTTCGTCCCTGCCGTGGCCTTGACGTGTCCCGGATATGGACTACACACCGAGCCCTAAAATTTGCCAAGAAATGCTTGAAAATCAGGCTACATCCCTATCACAGCCAGGACGCGTCCCGGACATAGCCGGCACATCGTGCCCACAAACTGCCTACAAATGCCAAAAAATTAGGCTATGTCCCAACTGCGGTTGGGAGGCGTCCCGGACGTGGCCAAAAATGCCTGAAAATCAGGATACGTCCCTGCCGTGGCCCAGACGCATCCCGATCGTGGCCTGCACACCGTGTTCCAGAAACTGCCTAGAAATACCTTAAAATCAGGCTGCGTACCTGACGCGTCCTGGACATGGCCTGCACACTGACCAAGAAATTGCCTAGAAATGCCTGGAAATCAGGTTACATCCTTGCCACGACCCTGACGTGTCTCGGACATTGCCTGCACACCGTGTTAAAATGGCTTCACTCAAAATTATTTTTTTATTTTCGACTGTCGTGTTTTTGTTGTGTGTTCGTTCTGAAGCAAGAGAGTTTGTAATAGATGGTGAAATAATTTATGGCTAGTTCCATTTTTTGTTGACGAGTTCAACAAATGGGCTGAGAAAACTCGTTTTCAGTTTAGGGATTCTTTAGTTCTGAAGTATGATTCCAAGACTGAGTCAGTGCTGAAAGTGACCGAGGAAGACTACAAAATTTGCAACAACGCCAATCCAACAAAATCACACCATGATGGAGAAACTACAATTTCACTAGAAAAATCATGTCTATTTTTCTTCATCAGTGGAGCTGAAGAACATTGCTATAATGGTCAAAAGCTTGAGGTTATGGTTCTGTCGGATAAACATGACTCCAGCCACCAATCTACAGTACAGAAATTGCCTAGAAATGCCTGAAAATCAGGCTGCATCTCTATCGCGGCCAGGATGCGTCCTGAACTTGGCCAACACACCGTGTCCACAAACTGCCTAGAAATGCCTGAAAATTAGGCTGTGTCCCTACTTGGCCAGGAGGCGTCCCGGACATGGCCTGTACACCGTCTCCAGAAACTACCCAGAATTACTTGAAAATCAAGCTCCGTCCCCGCCATGGCCCTAACGCGTCCTTGACATGACTTGCAAACCATGACCTAGAAACTAACAAGAAATGCCTGAAAATCAGGCTGCGTCTAGGACAAGGCTTGCACACCATGCCCAAAAAATTCTTAAAAATGCTTGAAAATCAGGCTGCGACCCCGTTGTGGACCGATTGCATCACGGACGTGGCCTTCACACCGTATCCCAAAAACATCCTAGAAGTACTTCAAAATTAGGTTGCATCCCTACCACATCCTGGACACGGCCTACACACCGTGTCCTAAAAACAACCACAAATGCCTGGAAATCAGGCTACATCCCTGCAGTAGCCCCGACGCCTCCCGAACATTGCCTGCACACCGTGTCCAAGAAAATACATAGAAATACGTGAAAATTAGGATGTGTCCCTGTAGCATCCTGGACATGGCCTGCACACTGTGACCCAAAAAACTGCCTAGAAATGATTGAAAATTAGGCTACGTCCCTGCCGCGATAGGAAGCGTCCCGAACATGGCCAGCACATAGTGCCCAAAAACTGCCCATAAATGCCTGAAAATCAGGTGGTGTGCCTATCGTATCCTGGACATGGCCTACACACCGTGTCCCAGAAACAACCACAAATGCCTGGAAATCAGGCTAAATCCCTGCAGTAGCCCCGACGCCTCCCGAACATTGCCTGCACACCGTGTCGAAGAAAATACATAGAAATACGTGAAAATTAGGATGTGTCCCTGTAGCATCCTGGACATGGCCTGCACACTGTGACCCAAAAACTACCTAGAAATGATTGAAAATTAGGCTACGTCCCTGCCACGATAGGAAGCGTCCCGAACATGGCCAGCACATAGTGCCCAAAAACTGCCCATAAATGCCTGAAAATCAGGTGGTGTGCCTATCGTATCCTGGACTTTGCCTGCACAACATGTCCCAAAAACTATCTAGACATGTCTGGAAATTAGGTTGTGCTTTTGTCGTGATTAGGACGCTTCCCAGGCATGGTATGGCTTGTACATCGTGCGAAAAAACTGCCCTGAAATGCTTGAAAATCAGGCTCCATCCCTCCTATGGCTCGAATGCGTCCTGGACATGGCTCGCACACCGTAACCTAGAAACTATCTTAAAATGCCTGAAAATCAGGCTACGTCCCGAACATGGCCTGAACAAAGTGCCCAGAAACTGTCGAAAAATGCCTGAAAATCAAGCTGCGTCCCTGTCATGGCCATGACTTATCCCGAATATGGCATGTACACCGTGTCCCAGAAACTGCCCAGAATGCTTGGGAACGTGCTTGCGCCCCTGACATGGCCTGCACACCGTGCTTCCTTCATTTGGTGGAAAATCTGCTTGCGTCCGTAACGTGGCCGGGAAGCGTCCCGAACATTGCTTGCATATTGTGCCCACAAATTGCCTAAAAATGCCTGAAAACAAGGTTGTGTCCCTACCATGGCCAGAACGAGTCCCGGACGTGGCCTGCACACGGTGCCCACAAACTGCCTAGAAATTCCTGAAAATCAGGTTGTGTCTCTGCCTCAGCCAGGACGTGTCCCGGATATGGCCTGCACGCTGTGTCCCAGAAACTGAAAACAAAACGCATGACACGATCGATGTCTATGTACTATCACCCAAAGATTTATCCTTGGGAATACCCTTGAGTATTATTCACTAGTTTTTTAGACACCTTTTGTTTAATATCATTTGCGCTTCATTTGAGACATTTGTAATTTTTTCCACTTACAGGAGCTCAGGTTTATGTCACCCTCCTTTATGTGTATTCTCATTTTCTATATTATAAAATAAGCCACACTAGTGGTATTTGCCAAAAAAAAAAACCCTAAAAAACCCTAAACCCTAAAGACTAGATAGAAAAATTCACAGAATTGTTAAAAAATATTTGTATTCCATGGCTTGGTTTTATAAAATGTCTGAAACACAAGGCCTTTTATAGGTACAAAGGATCCCAAATTCATTTTTTGAACTTAATAGACTAATTAATGACTTTTCCTACATACTATGAATAATATGATACAAAGAATCATTTGGATACATGATTTAAATAAACGCATGAATATTAAATAAACTAATTCATGTATCAAATTTAATTTTTTTTCATTATTCATGAATCATGTTTAATTTCCAACATTAAGAAACCGAGAATGAAGCATGGGCTAATTCGGTTTCCTCTTTGAATTTTCAATTTTAAGTTTAAAGTAGAAAATGATTTTGGTTTTTCATTCAAAAATACTATTTCTTAAAATAGAAGATTACATTTGATTTAAAATTATGAAAAATTATTTCATGGATTTTTTTATTCTGTAAAATATATTCCCATTCTATTTTTTGAATGTTGTATAAATTATAACATTCAAATTAACTTGAAATGATATTATTTTTCGAGCTCAAGAAGAAGCGTTGATTTACCAGCCACTGGGTAAGAAATGAGGACACATTTCCTACTGGGATTTCAACTATTGTCATTGCTTTTCAAAACAGTAAGTATCTATTTTCCGTTTTATGTTTTAGTTAAAAAAAATTTATTGTTTGGCTAGACTTTATTTTTGCAAGCAGAAGAAGTTAGTTTTAAGTAATTTTTTAGCAAAATATTTAAAAAAAAAGAAAGAAAGAAAAAAGAAAAAAACTATAAATAGTCATGGGAATGCTAATTCATTTCTTGAATTTGTTTAGGGTTCATTGTATGTTTTGGTGATGATGTTGTTAATTATTATGATCTTTTTCGCTATCATCCAATAATATATTAATAATCTATTATATTTTGAAGTTCAGGTTTCTCAGCAGCTGAGTCAAAACGGCATGTAACACTCTTCTACTAGAAAAGTACATTTGTTAACAGTAGCTTTGAAAGTAAGTGTTCTCTCACAAATTGCCAATTATAACAAGAATTCTTATAATTGCTTTAAGACATAATTGCTAGATGTCTTGCACACAATTATTCAAAACCACAGCTATGTACTATGCATATATTCCTTGATCATAATATAAAGGGATTTCCTTCCCTTCAATATTTCCTTAAAGTTGGAGTGTGAATGTCAATAACTCAAAATTTCTAAGTTGTCAGTGAAAAACAACTTATTCCAGTGATTTAGTAAATAACCACCTATTTGTTGTCCCATTTCATTGTAGATTATCTCAATTTCCCCAATTTAATTTTTTTCTTGTACTGTGTGGTAATCCAACTCAATGTATTTTATTCATTCGTGGTACATTAGGTTAACAGCAACATGCAGACTACAGCACCAATACTTCAATTATAGACATTCATATGATGTAGTCCTCAATTTCAATCCCTCCCCTTTGTATAAATCCTTTAGCAATAAGTTAAGCCTCACAAACTTGTAAGGTGCTATAAGAATGGTATTTAATTTTGAAGACCCATTGCCCACACACTGTGTCCATCACGCGTCCTGGACATGGCCTGTGTCCCTGCCAAGTCCTGGACATGGCCTACACACCGTGTCCGAGAAACTACCTACAAACGCCTGGAAATCAGGCCGCATCCATGAAGTAGCCTCAACGTGTCCCGAACATTACCTGTACATCGTATCTAAGATATTGCATAGAAATACGTGAAAATCAGGATGTGTCCCTGCAGCATTTTGGACATGGCCTGCACACCGTGTCCCACAAATTACCTAGAAATGCCTGAAAACTAGGCTGCATCCTTGCCACGTCCTAGACATCACCTGCACACCGTGTTCTAGAAACTGCCCAGAAATACCTGAAAGTCAAGATATGTCCCTGACGCATCTTGGACAAGGCTTGTACATGGTGTCCCAGAAACTGCCTAAAATTGCTTGAAAATCAGGCTTCGTCCCTACCGTGGCCATGATGCATCCCGAACATGGACTGCACACCGAGTCCCAAAATTTGCCAAGAAATGCCTGAAAATCAGGCTGCGCCCCTGTTGTGGCTAGGATGCGTCCCAGACATGGCCGGCACACCATGCCCACAAACTGCCTACAAATGCCTGAAAATCAGGCCGTGTCCCTACCGCGGCTAGGAGGCATCCCGAACGTGGCCTGCACAACGTGGCCAAAAACTTGCCAAAAATGCCTGAAAATCAGGCTGCCTCCCTGCCGTGGCCCGAAAGCATCCCAATCATAGCCTGCACACCGTGTCCCAAAAATTGCCTAGAAATGCCTTAAAATCAGGCTGTGTCCCTGATGCGTCCTGGACATGGCCTGTACACTGTGTCCAAGAAACTGTCTAGAAATGCCTGGAAATTAGGTTGCATCCCTGCCGCGGCCCGTACATTGCCTACACACCCTGTTAAAATTGCTTCACTTAAAATTATTTTTTCATTTTCGACGTTCGTGTTTTTGTTGTGTGTTCATTCCAAAGCAAAAGAGTTTGTAATAGACAGTGAAAATTATTTATGGGAAGTTCCATCTTCTGTTGACGAGTTCCACAAATGGGTTGAGAAAACTCATTTTCAGATTGGGGATCTTTAGTTTTGAAGTATGATTCCAAGACTGATTCAGTGCTGGAAGTGACCGAGAAAAAAAACTATAAATAGTCATGGGAATGCTAATTCATTTCTTGAATTTGTTGAGGGTTCATTGTATATCTTAGCGATGATGTTGTTAATTATTATGACTTATTCTCTATCATCCAATAATATATTAATAATCTATTATATTTTTAAGTTCAGGTTTCTCAGCAGCCGAGTCAAAACGGTATGTAACACTCTTCTACTAGAAAAGTATTTTTGTTAATAGTAGCTTTGAAAGTAAGTGTTCTCTCACAAATTGCCAATTATAACAAGAATTCTTATAATTGCTTTAAGACATAATTGCTAGATGTCTTGCACACAATTATTCAAAACCACAACTATGCACTATGCATATATTCCTTGATCATAATATAAAGTGATTTCCTTTCCTTCAATACTTCCCTAAAGTTGGAGTGTGAATGTCAAGAACTCAAATTTTCTAAGTTGTCATTGAAAAACAACTTATTCCAGTGATTTAGTAAATAACCACCTATTTGTTGTCCCATTTTATTGTAGATTATCTCAATTTCCCCAATTTAATTTTTTATTGTACTGCGTGGTAATCCAACTCAATGTATTTTGTTCATTCATGGTATATTGGGTTAATAGCAACATGCAGACTCTAGCACCAATACTTCAATTATAGACATTCATATGATGAAGTCCTCAATTTCGATCCCTCCCTTTGTATAAATCCTTTAGCAATAAGTCAAGCCTGACAAACTTATAAGGTGCTATAAGAATGGCATTTAATTTTGAAGACCCATTGCCTGCACACCATGTCCATGATGCGTCCTGGACATGGCCTACATACCGTGTCCCATAAACTACCTACAAATGCCTGGAAATGAGGCTGCATCCATGCAGTAGCCCCGATGTGTCCTGGACATTACCTGTACACCGTATCTAAGATATTGCATAAAAATACGTGAAAATCAGGATGTGTCCCTGCAGCATTCTGGACATGGCCTGCACACCGTGTCCCAGAAATTGCCTAGAAATGCCTGAAAACCAAGATACATCCCTGCCGCATCCTGGGCAAGGCCTGCACACGGTGTCCCAAAAACTGCCTAAAATTGCTTGAAAATTATGTTTCGTCCCTGTCGTGGCCATGATGCATCCTAGACATGGACTGCACACCGAGTCCCAAAATTTGCCAAGAAATGCTTGAAAATTAGGCTGCGTCCCTATCGTGGCCAGGACGCATCGTAGACAAGGCTGGCACACCGTGCCCACAAACTACCTACAAATGCTTGAAAATCAAGCTGTGTCCCTATCGCGGCTACGAGGCGTCCCTAACGTGGCCTACACACCGTGGCCAAAAACTTGCCAAAAATGCCTGAAAATTAGGTTGCATCCCTGCCATGGCCCGGATGCATCCCGATCATGGCCTACACACCGTGTCCCAAAAATTGCCTAGAAATGCCTTAAAATCAAGCTGTGTCCCTGATGCGTCCTGGACATGGCCTGCACACTGTGTCCAAGAAACTGCCTAGAAATGCCAGGAAATCAGGTTACATCCCTGACGCGTCCTGTACATTGCCTGCACACCCTATTAAAATGGCTTCACTTAAAATCATTTTTTCATTTTCAACCGTCGTGTTTTGTTTCTGCGTTGGTTCTGAAGCAAGAGAGTTTATAATAGATGGTGAAAACAATTTATGGGCAGTTCCATCTTCTGTTGACGAGTTCAACAAATGGGCTGAGAAAACTTGTTTTCAGATTGGGGATTCTTTAGTTCTGAAGTATTATTCCAAGACTGATTCAGTGCTGGAAGTGACCGAGGAAGACTACAAAATCTGCAACAATGCCAATCCAATAAAATCACACCATGATGGAGAAACTACAGTTTCACTAGAAAAATCAGGTCTATTTTTCTTCATCAGTGGAGCTGAAGAACATTTCTAGAAGGGTCAAACGCTAGAGGTTATGGTTATGTCTGATAAACATGGCTCCAGCAACCAATCTACAGCGCAGGCACCTTCTCCTCATCATCACCGTCACCACTACCATGCACCGCGCGCCAGCCCTGACTAACGGTGGTACTGGTCTGAAGGTGACGGAGGGGTTTATTTGTGGCACTGCGACGGTGGGAAGTTTGGTTTTGTTGTGTAGACTATTTTTATTGTTCATGTGTTGTAACGTTGAGCTACATTTTATTTTCATTATTCTTTGTCATGTATATGCTTCCTGCTTTTAATTCTAAATTAATTTAAAAAACCTCAAAACCCTAAACCCTATGACCTAGAAATTACCTAGAAATGCCTGGAAATCAGGCTGCGTCCCTACCGTTGCCTAGACATAGCTTGCACACCGTGCCCACAAACTGCTTGAAAATCAGGTTGCATCCCTACCTGGCCAGGACGCATCCTTAACATGGCTGTACACCATGCCCAAAAATTGCCTAGAAATACTTGAAAATTAGGCTCTGTCCCCGACGTGTCCCAAACATGACCTGCCTAGAAATGCCTAAAAATCAAGCTACGGCCAGGATGAGTCCCGGACATGGCCTGCACACTGTGCCCAAAAACTTTCTAGAAATGTCTAAAAATCAGGCTGCATCCCTACCGTGGCCAGTGTGCGTCTTGAACATGGACTAGACACAGTGCCCAGAAATTGTCCAAAAATGCTTGAAAATTAGGCTACATCCCTGCCATGTCCCGGACATAGCCTGTACACCGTGTCCTAGAAACTGCCTACAAATGCCTAAAAATCAGGTTGCGTCCCTGTCGCGTCCTGGACATGGCCTACACACCATGTCCCAGAAACTGTCTAGAAATGCTTGGAAATTAGGCTGCTTCCCTGTCGTGACCTAGATGCGTCCTGGACATGGCTTGCACACCGCTTCCCAGAAACTGCCTAGAATTACATGAAAATTAGGTTGCATCCCTACTGTATCCTGGACAATCACTGCACATCGTATCCCAAAAATTGCCTAGAAATGCCTAAAAATCGGGCTACGTCCCTGCCACAATCAGGATGCGTCCCAACATGGCCTGTACATCGCTTCCCAAAAATCGCCTAGAAATACTTGAAAATCAGGTTGCGTCCCTGCTGTATCCTGGACATTGCTTGTACACCGTGCCTAAAAACTGCCTAGAAATGCCTGGAAATTAGGTTGCATACCTACTACGATCAGGACGCATCCCGAACATGGCCAGTACACTGTGCCCCAGAAACTGCCGAGTAATGCCTGGAAATTAGGTTGCGTACCTACCGCGATTAGGACGTGTCTTGAACATGGCTTGCACATCATGCCCAAAATAGCCCTAAAATGCTTGAAAATCAGGCTCTGTCCCTGTCGTGGCTCGGACGCGTCCTAGACATAGCCTTCACACCGTGACCCAGAGACTACCTAGAAATGCCTAAAAATCAGGTTACATCCCTCCCGTGACTGGGATGCGTCCCGGACATGGCCTGCACACAATACCCAGAAACTGTTGAAAAATTCTAGAAAATCATGTTGTATCCCTGACCTGGCCATGACTTGTCCTGAATATGTCCTACACACAGTGTCCCAAAAATTGCCCAGAATGCTTAGGACGTACCTGGGCCCCAGATATCGCCTGCACACCATGCTTCCTTCGTTTGGCTGAAAATCTGCTTACGTCCCTAATGTGGTCGGGAAGCGTCCCAAACATTGCCTACACACCGTGCCCACAAACTGGCTAGAAATGCCTGAAAATCAGGCTACATCCCGGCCACGGCCAGGATGAGTCCTAGACATGGCCCGCACACTGTGCCCACAAACTGTCGAGAAATGCCTGAAAATCAGGTTGTGTCCCTGCCGTAGCGAGGACGCGTACTGGATATGGCCTACACACCGTGTCCCAGTGGAGCTGAAGAACATTGCTAGAAGGGTCAAAAGCTAGAGGTTATGGTTCCGTCCGATAAACATAGCTTCAGCCACCAATCTACAGTGCAGGCACCTTCTCCTCATCATCACCATCACCACTACCATACACTGGTGCAAGCCTCGACTAATGGTGGTACTGGTCTGAAGGTGGCGGAGGGGTTTGTTTGTGGCACTGGGCAGTGGAAAGTTTGGTTTTGTTGTGTATACTAGTTTTATTATTAATGGGTTATAGCGTTGAGCTACATTTTATTTTCATTATTCTTTGCCATGGCTCGAACATGTTCGGGACATGACCTGCACACCGTGACCTAGAAACTGATGAGAAATTCTTGAAAATCAGGCTGCTTCTAGGACATGGCCTGTACACCATGCCCAAAAACTTCTCAAAAATGCCTGAAAATCAGGATGCGTCCCTGCTGTAGCTTGGACGCATCCCAGACAAGGCCTGTAAATCGTGTCAAAAAAATTGCCTTGAAATACGTGAAAATCTTTGGGTGTCCCTAAAGCATCTTCGACATGACCTGCACACCGTGTCCCAAAAACTACCTGGAAACTAGGCTACATCCCTGTCGCGGCCTAGACGTGTCCCGGACGTTGCTTGAACACCGTGTTCCAGAAACTGCATAAAAATACCTGAAAGTTTGGATGCGTCAATGGCATCCTGGACATGGCCTGCACACCGTGTCCTAGAAACTGCCCAGAATTGCCTGAAAATCAAGCTCCATCCCTACCTTGGCCAGGACGCATCCTGGACGTGGCTTGCACACCGTGCCCAAAAATTTCCCAAAAAAGCCTGAAAATCAAGCTACGTCCCTACCGTAGCCCGGATGCGTCCCCATCATGGCCTGTACACCATGTCCCAGAAACTGCCTATAAATGCCTGAAAATCAGGCTACATCCCTACAACAACACCGACGAGTCTCGAAAATTTCCTGCACATCGTGTCCAAGAAATTGCCTAGAAATATGTGAAAATTTGGATGTGTGCCTGCAGCATCCTAGACATGGCCTGTATATCGTGTCCTAAAAATTGCCTAGAAATGCCTAGAATCCAGGCTGCATCCTTGCCATAGCCCAGATGCGTCCCAAACATTGCCTGCACACCATGTTCCAGAAACTACCTAAAACTACCTGAAATTCAGGATGCGTTCCTGCCACATCCTGGACATGGCTAGAACACTGCATCCCAGAAACTGCCCAGAATAGCCTAAAAAATTAGGTTCCGTCCCTACCATGGCCATGGGACGTCTCAAACATGGCCTGCACTCCAAGTCCTAGAAATTGCCAAGAAATGCCTAAAAATCAGGTTGCGTCCCGGACATGGCTTGCACACCGTGCCCACGAACTGCCTACAAATACCTGAAAATCAGGATGTGTCCCTACTGCGGTCAGGATGCACCCCGGACGTTGCCTACACACCATGCCCAAAAACTTCCCAGAAATGCTTGAAAATCAAGCTGCGTCACTGACGTGGCCCGGACGCGTCTCGGTCAAGGCCTGCACACCGTATCCCAGAAACTGCCTAGAAATGCCAGTAAATCAAGCTGCATCCCAATCGCGTCCAGGACATGGCCTGCACATCGTGTCCTAGAAACTACCAAAAAATGCCTGGAAATTAAGCTGCATCCCTGCAACAGCCCTGACACATCCAGAAAATTGCCTGCTCACCATGTCCAAGAAATTACCTAGAAATACATGAAAATCAGGATGTGTCCCTGCAGTATCCTGGACATGGCCTCCACACCGTATCCCAGAAACTACCTAGAAATGCCTGAAAACCAGACTGCATCCCTGCAGTGGCCTAGACGCATCCTGAACATTGCCTGCACATTGTGTTCTAGAAATAGCCTAAAAATACCTCAAAGTCAGGATGCGTCCCTACTGCATCCTGGACATGCATTGCACACCGTGTCCCAGAAACTACCCAGAATTGCTTGAAAATCAGGCTCCGTCCCTACCGTGGCCATGACGCGTCCTGAACATGGCCTGGACATCAAGTCCCAGAAATTGCTAAGAAATGCCTGAAAATCGGGCTCCTCCCTACCGCGGTAAAAATACGTCCTAGATATGGCCTGTACACCATGCCCACAAACTGCATACAAATGCCTAAAGATCAAGCGGCGTTCCTACCACGGTCAGGACGTGTCCCATACATGGCCTGCACAACGTGCCCAAAAACTTCCCAAAAATCCCTAAAAATCAGGCTACGTCCTTACCGTCGCCCAAAGGCATCTCGTTCATGGCCTGCACACCGTGTCCTAGAAACTACCAAGAAATGCCTAAAAATCAAACTACGTCTTGGATGTGGCTTGCACATTGTGTCCCAGAAACTACCTAAAAATGCCTGGAAATTAGGTTGCATCCCTCCCGCGACCTAGACGCGTCTCGAACATTGCTTGCACACCATGCACCAGAAAACTACCGTTGTAGATCCCCAAATAATTTTATACACCTTAGTGGCACTAAGACATAAATATTGGATGGCTAAAGTATACTTTAAATTTTTAGTCTCATTTGAGACCCATTTATGACATAAAAAACATTTGATTTGGGAAATGATATCTAAATAAAAATTGTAGCTCTTTGAGTTAGCTTTCCAATACACTTTGAATTACCTCAATCGAATATCAGGAAAAGAAGTTATGATAGAAATACTAAAAGCTGTACAATATCAACCGAAGTACGTGGAATATGAAATGTCAAATTCCTACACGATTGTCTAGCACCTTCTTAAACCTATAACTCCCACATAAATGGCACCCATATTAGTGAGTATTAGGCCCTTCACTTGCCCTTAAGTTGTGAGATTTTCACCTATAAATAGGCCCCAATGCATACACATTTTTCACACCAAGACAAAAGCTTCTAAGCATAAAAGAGAGAGTTTTCAAGTCTAGAAAAAAGAGAAAGGAGAGGGAGGAAAATTAATTTTTTCTAGAAGTTTTGGTGCTATCAAGAAGTGTTTTCCAAGCATCAATTCTCAATGGAGTGTTTTTTTTTTTTGAAACATCAAAGGAGTGTATTTTTCAACAAGGTTCAAAGCATCAATCAAGGTAGGTAGAGGTGCAAAGTGTTAATTCGTGTTAAGTTATAAGTTTCTAGCAAATGAAGATTTATGTTAATATTTGTATGTCTAATGGTAACTCTGGTATGGCATACGCCGCCATGTCTAATGGCACATCCGAGTACGGCATGTACTTACGGTCGAGGCGTCGTGTTAAGTCATGACTCTACGTGTTTGGGATTCTACCGAAAATCCTACTAGGAAAAGGTTTCTAAAGTTACAGCTTTGAAATGTATAGCTTGATCACGAATGCGCCAATGATATCTATTGAGTTTTTTTAACTCACGGGTTTAACCCCTTCTTTACAGATTGATATGATTCTACCTTGGGCCTGGATGATGGAAAAGATAGAGAGTGGTGCAACGCGCTCATGGAAAACCCGATGAACAAGTTATTTAGATTTGTTTTTGTGAACGTTTTCAATGTTATTTCTTTAAAGTATTTGAATAACACGGAACGTGAGAACAAGTTGTGTTTTCTTTAAATAAATTACGTTCCGTTATTTTTTTTATTCAATGTTTTATTTAAAGTATTCGAAAGGTTGTTGTTAAAATTATAATTGTAAAAATTAAGCTTCCGCTAAAACATATTCTCCTATGACTAAACCACTGGTTAGTTAAGTAAAGTAAGTAGCGTTCCTGTCCACAAGGGGTCAGGGCATTACAGCGTGGTATCAGAGTACGGTTTAGCCAGTTCTATAGGCCAAGTATTTTTTTTTAAAAACGGTTTAGCCGGTTTTGTAGACCAAGTATGTTCATTTTTTAAAAAAAATGGTTTAACCGGTTCTGTAGACCAAGTATGTTTAAAAAAAAAAAGAGAATAAGTCTAAGATACTCCATGGCATCTTACATCCATCCATCAATCTCATCCTACGGCTCAGGTATGTTCAAAGTTAATGTTTTCATGAAAAGACTATGTTATGATGCTTTGCGATGCTATGGTATAACTTATGCTTATTTTCAAAGATATACTATGCCAGTTAGAAATGATTTGAAAGATGTGTTTTTTTTTTCAAAAGATATGCATTGGGCTAGAATTTACAGGTAGAATGTTATGTAACAATAGCCATTTTTCTAAGAGTACAAAAAAAAGTGTGATATGTGAAAATGCAACTGTTATGGCTCGTAGAATGGGTAGGGCATATAGAGGAGCATTGAACCGTAGAATCGCCATTCAGTCCTATAAGAATTACGTGATTGATCTGCTCTGTCCACTTGACGAACATATACATGATGTCTGTGAGAGATGCATAACAGCGGTGAACATTGGAATGGAGATAACGCATATTGAGGCTATAAACAACCTCATATACTCCCTTCCACCTCAATGGGGAGCTATGGGAGTCACGGTTAGGGATGTAATGCTAGAGGAGCACCCAAATATATTTGAGTTTGAAGTGTA